CAAAGCCCAGGATTCCAGATTCCACATGCAAAATTTTCCCGGATTCTGGGGCGAAAAGGGTTTATAAGTCACTGGTTTTCAACAACAATAAAAAGATATAATCATAATTTATATATTTTTTTCTTTATAGGAACAGGCACGTGGCAAACACCGTTGGTCATTTCCAGCGCTTGCCAGACTGAAGAGTCCAAGTTCCAGTGGTATAAATTTTAAAATTTACTTATCAATGTCAGACGGACACAAAGGGAAGCGCTATATACACAGATATGATAAATATAATTTGTTTATGATAGATAACTAAACGGTTTTAATTATTCTGTTAACCCATTTTGTTTTGTGATGTGTGTGTGTAAGTGTGTGACTCTCATAGATTTCTGTTTCGTTATCTGACTTAGTCATAGCTCCTTGTTCTAGAACGCAGTGATTTTTAACGTTGTTGTACAATTTACCTCCAGGACTTCTTATAAAACCTTAAAACACAAGTCGTCCGGATACTGCGTGCATCCTTTATCCGGGACACCAGAGAGCGGAACTTCCGCCATTCTGTGGCAGGATGATTGTAATGAAGATAGACTCCAGCTGGATCTATTCAAGTTGCCAGGTTGGTGCAAGAATATAGATATTATCTTGTTTTATTGCTAATGTAAACACCAATATAATATCAGGTGTGCTTTCACACGGAAACATGACCTTAAAACACGCGATAGCAAGTTAAAAGGGTTGGTATAGAGTACTAAAGTGTGACGTCATAAAAATGAAATTTCTGAAATTATGGGATTTGTCAGGATATTCTGAAAGAACAATGTCCAAGAGGCCCACTTGCCAAAAATGAGCATTTGGGGGCATATTGTCTCTGAGATCGTAGCCCAGTTATGCTTACAAAACTCCATACAAACCCTTCTAAATTTTTTTTGGGTCGACCCAAAAAAAAATTAGAAGGGTTTGTATGGAGTTTTCTGAGTATAACTGGGGGGCTACTATCTCAGAGACAATTTGCCCCCAAATGCTCATTTTTGGCAAGTAGGCCTCTTGGACATTGTTCTTTCAGAATATCCTGACAAATCCCATAATTTCAGAAATTTCATTTTTGTGACGTCATCACTTTAGTACTCTATTTCATTAGTGTTTATGAAGAGCCCCTGAGATATGGGATATTACATGGTCTGAGGCAGATACCGGAAATTAAGGAGTATCTTCTCCTGGCTGCAGACATTTTGTAAAATGATGGGGAGATGGATGAAAGGGTAGGGAATCTGTCATTCGGGAATGTGAAGCTGAGTCAAAAGTGGCGTATATAGTTGTAAGAGGTTGGAACTCTGAGCGAAACCTCCCCCTATAAAACTGTTGTGTACCTACCTTATGGAGAATCTTGGAGGTGTTGGTTGGATGTCACCTTCTTACGCTTTTTGAACGATTGAGGAAAAGGCGATATTATTTGCGTAATACTGATCTTGTACAAAAGTTAAATTTTTGGTATAATGAACTGCATCATTCATCATCATTCCCAGAGGTCAAGAAACAACGTTACAATGTCTTCAGCCAGAGAGACAACGTAGAATTCTGCGAATTTCCCGTGTGTCATGATTAATCTTTTCTTTGCAGTATTTCAAAGTTCAATACAAGCTTTTAATGGCTTCTGTCTCCAACCTGCAAGCTCAAACTGTGATCCAGCAGATAACACTCGACTTGTTTATCACAAAGCAGCTCGATGCAAGAACAACTACATGTTTTTCACTTACAAGAACGAAGTTCTAGTCCATAATTGCAGTGGCAAGAGAGTTTGTCCACAGGGTAAGTACGCCTTTCAAGACTGCTCGCAGTCTTGAAAGGGCGGTATGAGATATGGTAGAATGCGAGCACACGCGAGTGGCAAACGGCGAAGCCGCGAGAGACAAGGGCTGAGCCCTAGCGAAGAAAATCTCTCCTCCTTTTTGCTGCCACGCGAGCGAGCCTTAAGCGAGCGAGCAAGGCAGCAGACCTAATCTGTACAGGGACAAAAATTTTCGATTTCTACCCACGACGCATCTGGATTTTTAACCACAATGCACCGGATTTTTTGCCACAATCCCAAAGCACGACCACTGCCGATCTCGGCTGGCGTTTTGTTGCATGAAGTTCGCTTTAATTAAATGTGTCGGTGATGAATTTCTCTCTCATGGCATATATTAGCCAAGATTTTTTCACACAGCCCGGCTGGTGATTACCTTCACGTTTATGTCTGCTGCTAAGGTAGTCTCGAAAACTCTGGAGGAATTTAATGTGTGTTTGTGTTCTGTGAACATCGTGATGTTTTTAAATTCCTTTAGATTATCTTCTACACCCGTGGTTTTATTAAACTATCGTTTCGTAATAATTCTAGAAGATAATGTTCGAATAAACCAGAGTAAAACCTCCAACGACTTGGCTAACAAATTGCGTCACAAACGCTACACATTAAGTATTCTAATTGCGTCCGCTAGATGAACGCGAGATTAATTTGGAGTTACAAATTGAAACCAGGGCAGCACTCTTTCACCTATATACTGTGTACACTAGTTACCACCGATAATTTTCAACATTTTACTCTAGGGAAAGAAGGGCAATCGCTCGAGGTTTAATTGCTAACTATACGGCAGTTATTTTTGCCGAAAACCCCTACTTGACTGTTTATTGTATTATGTAACGTTCTGCGAACACGCATACATATATCGAAATCTGGGGAATCCAGAACGGAACACCTATGATGACATATAGAGCCTAGTTTTCATCTTGGCCATATCCTTTTCGTTTATTTCTAAAGGTCATTACGTTACCTTGCCCCTCTCCCATGAGACTAAGACAGACAGATGCTGTCGGAAATTTGGGGAAAAATTCTCCGTTTTTTCCCTTGCTGTTGATAAAAAAAAGTGTTTGATATTGCTTCGAATTTTGATTAAAATATAGTTTATATCTATTATGTGAGGAAATCAGACAGAGTAAAACGCCAACAAAACATTTCGAAGACTGGTAAAATGACTTCAATAATTGAAGTGCTTTTCTTCCTTTCAGATGCAACGCCAACTTGGGAAACGCCCCTGGTTATTTCCAGTAGATGTTCAACCGATGCGTCCAAGTTTCAAAGGTGACACTAAATTAAAATTTGAAATAAATGTTTGCGAGGGAAACAGATAATTTGGTTTTCATTCAGTGTTGATACAAGTTCAACAAAAATGAAAGAATATTTAAAAAATTATTTTTAAAATTTGAAACTTTTGGCTGGAAATTGTCAGACGCCACGTGACGTTAAAATTGCGTGCTCGGCGAAAAATCCTGTCATCTAAAAAAAATGAGGATGTTTCGTTCCTTCTACACTTTAGGGTATGCTGCTGTTTGAACAGCTTTGATTTGCGGTTTCCGCTATTTTGTCCACTAAAGACATCAGTTTTACATGTTGCTTGATCAGAAAAGACTTTTGGCGGGAAATTGTAGGACGCCATGTGACGTCAAGCTAGCCAATGAAAATGCGCGCTTGACGAAAAATACTATCTAAAAAAAAAAACAGTTGGAAATGTTCCGTTCCTTTTTTCCGTGGTTGTTTCACGCTGATGAGTCTTCTGTCCATACCTGCCGTTGGCCACAGATGTTGCTGTGCGCATGCGTAAAATTTAGGCCACGACGGGCGTTGCTTTTCGTCCGTGTCACTTCCTTTAACCCTTTAAGCCGCAATATCCGCATCCACGCTTATGTCTTGTGCTTTGAATGATCTCTGTCCTTTAGAACTTTTCACAAGACCTTAATACACAGAGTATCAGGATTCTGTGTACATTCATACGGTGGACCACCTAAGGAAGGAATTCACGCCATCTTGTGGAAAGATAACTGTAACGAAAAGAGGCTTCGGTTGGATCTCTCCATGTTACGAGGTCAGTAGAAAGTTACATCAGTGGTTTTTTGTTGTATTTTATTGTGATACACGAAGTTAACTGCGTGCGACCAATGAGAACGCAATCCTAATCTAATGGCTGGTTTGCCTATCGTCACAGCTAAAGAACCAGAATAGACTTTCCCTCTCTAAGGCTAATTAATTCTCCTTTTATTTCCTTTTTCAGGTCCTGGGTAGTGAGGATTTGGAATTAACCAAAGAAACACTTAGTAATAATAGTAAAGGTGAAATAAAGGGAAATGGCAGGTTTATTCATTCATCGAGATCTCATTTTTTTTTGTTGGATGGCAATTTCATGTCATTTTGTAATCGACAATGAACGGAACTGCTAATAGCTCGTTTCGAAACGCTTTTTCAATTCTGGTTGTAAGCCCTCTCAAATATAAGCTCAGGCTGGTTTGCCTATCGTCACAGCTAAAGAACCAGAATAGACTTTCCCTCTCTAAGGCTAATTAATTCTCCTTTTATTTCCTTTTTCAGGTCCTGGGTAGTGAGGATTTGGAATTAACCAAGGAAACACTTAGTAATAATAGTAAAGGTGAAATAAAGGGAAATGGCAGGTTTATTCATTCATCGAGATCTCATTTTTTTTTTTGTTGGATGGCAATTTCATGTCATTTTGTAATCGACAATGAACGGAACTGCTAATAGCTCGTTTCGAAACGCTTTTTCAATTCTGGTTGTAAGCCCTCTCAAATATAAGCTCTGTGTAAGCCCTTTTATAAACCCCTTACGAAAATGTGTAAGCCTCGGGGCTAATAATAAGCGGTAGTTTACGGTATATCGTTAAAGTATAAGCATGGAAGCTAAAATTGTTAACACCCTAAGGTTGATCTCTGAATCAACCAAGAAATATTTTCAGCATAAACCGAACATTAACTTCAAGCTGCTTTTTGGCAATTGAACTAGCTTTCACTTATGCATTTTCTTGGATTTCTTTGGCACTGACTTTGTATCCACATGCAAAAGCAACACCCTTAACTACATGTACAAATTACAGCAACACTGTACTAGAAAGAAAAACGTAACGTGCTTGATGGATCATTTTGAAAAGAAGAGCCAAGCTTCAGTTAAAAAATCATTCGAGTCACTGTCGAACTCAAATTTCTACCTCACAAACAAAAGGAAGTTTGTTTTTGCAAGAAGTGCCTTTCCAGCTTCCACCATCAATCGCCATTGCCGCACACTTCTGGTTATCGCCCCCGTAATCCGGCTGGCCGGAAGCCCACTTGGTGTAGCTCACAGGGATACCATCAGACCAAACGCGCATGCTCTCATTCAAACCGATCCACGCACCATTCAATGTTGGACCTAAACACGGTATAATTAAAATGAATGAAACCCTATTTAACTCCTACTCAAGTAGTTGTGGCAAAGTAATAAATGTTCAGGTAAGTGCTCTTAAAAACCAAGAATCGCTATCAATATCGTGCATTTATAGGCGAATCCTTGTTTACATTTTTTGCCTCATTAGCATAGGCTTATCATTTTCTGATGAAGCTTATAAAATTTCTGAATATTGAAAGAGCACAACAATTTCATTTTTCTCTGATAAGTTGAGCCCGATTTTCGGATCGATAAATTCTCTTTGAAAAACCCCATAATTTATAAAGAATGTATTTTGGGCTCATTGACGTTTTGCCACCCAGTAATTTTTCAGTCTTCAATCGCTGATACTTTCTTTGTTACTGATTGCAAAGAGCTGAAACTTGTATAAAGGCTAACTGCATAAATTAAGCAGCTCTTTTAATTTTTTAACCTAATTGGTATAAAAGGCTACATCTTCTATGAATTAACTCATATGCTAATGAGCAAAAATGTAAACAATGACGTCACGATGAATCCGCCTATACTATTGCAACCAAATTTGTATTGCCGACGGGGGACAAAAGGAAATTTGTCGTCAATCTAGTAGTTGTTGAAAAATGGGCATTAATAAAAGCCTGCGAATACAGCCGTTTCTCCTCGCACCTCGCCGCTAGGAACGTTTCGCCAGAACGGAACGCCTGCGACTCAGCGACAGAAATTCCATACTGATGATGTAAACCAATGTTTACATCCGGTACTCATGGGGTTTACATCCGGTACTCATGGGGTTCCAAATGTAAATTTGCTTGATTTTATGTTTCTCCTGGTCGGTAAAGTTTTGTGATCTTTTACAAACGAGCTCCAGCAAAATTCAGAGTTTTTCCTAAACAAGAATATGTTCTAGGAATATTGACTGTTTTATGTAATCACGTTTACATTTGCCCTTTGTGGATTTTGTCTATCAGTCGTAAACAATAGGTAAAACAATAATATATAGATTTAGCCGGGGCTAAAAAGCGAAGCTCTCGATAATTTTTATAGTTTACCAAAGCAAAATATCAATTCGTGTAATGCTAAGCGGCGAAGGAAGCGAGAACAGTGAAAAAACAACAATAGGTCTAGTTAGCAAAAAAACAACTTTGCACTTGCAGCACACTTGTTTTGTACATTTCTTTGGCGTTGTTTTGCACGACTACAACGTGGAACTTCCAGAAACATCCTGGTTACACGTTTTATGGAGGAAATGCCGTACGAGTTCTTGTTCATTTTTTTTTCACTGCCGCATATTTTCACCTTGGTGGCCGCTAACATTTATTTTCCCACCGCCGCTACAAAAATTTTCATGTTGTTCTTCCGACAAAAAAAAGTCTCTTTTGTCTTTTATCTCTCGCTTTAGATCCCTATCGCTCCTTTTTCTTGTTGAGCTTTGCTGGCCTGTCGCCTACTTTCTCTTTTCCTTTGTCTCTGTCTTTCTCTGTATTCCAAATTTGTGGACATGACAATTAATCTAAACTTACTTTAGACAACACGGATACAGAAACAATTTCCGCTTTCCGTTCTCGTCTTAAAGGGACTGGTTCACGATAATGCGCATGTGTGAGTTCTGACGAACTCATGCCTTTAACCACTTTCCAAGTGTCGTGTATTTCTTTTCGTAAGCCACAACTACTTCTAGAACCATACCAGATCGATAGGCTAAGCTTCTCTATCTCAAAGACTCTTGAGAACGTCCTGTTGCCGGACGGCCACGATGCTCTTCTGAACCTCCATGATCAAAACATTATTTTTTGCGTCTTCTTAAAACGTAACCAGTCAAACGACACAACCACACATTAATCACCACTACCGAAGTATAACTAGACCAGCCAAAGCGACGGATGTCCGAATAAAACGAAGGATTTTCAATGATTGTACCGGTAATAGCTATTTCGAATTTAGTGTTGACCCGACAAATTTTTTCTGAAGAGACGAACGGCGCGCGTGCGCATTATCGTGAACCAGTCCCTTTAAGGTGGCTCCCTAGGGTATTTACCAATAACCCTAGCTATCTAGAATACGTTACAGAACGAAATCTAGTTACTTTGTCTTTGCGATTTTGTTCACGAGATTCACCGCTAAGGTTACCCGTATAAGAAGGCTCCTTTATCAAATTCCTTTTTCTGGATCAAGGCCGTTGCCATGCCAACATCGCATCTATAGACAGGCAGAAATTTTGTCATTTTTGATCATTTTTTCTTAATATTTCTTATTTCCCTTGGTGAAATGTCTTTAAACTTTGCCACTTTATATTA